CAACTATGATCTCCTCAGAGCGGGTGGGGTTCCTTTCTTCCACTTTGTGGAATTGCTTCTTGCCATTTAGGCCTGTGCTCCCAAATGCATAGAACATCCCTTACTGTTTCTGTGTGTCTCCATCCCCCAGATGTACGGGGACCCCCTATGCACCGAACCCAATACGTTCATTCCCCGTATGATCGTCCTGGTTGGAACCCTCGGTTCTGCATCATCTCGGGGAACCAGCTGCTCATGCTGGATGAGGACGAGGTGAGCAGGGTGAGGAGGTTGGGAAGAGACCACACTGGGTAACTTGGGAGAATGTGGACAGAACAATGGGAAGAGTCCTTTTAGTGAAGGGTAGACAAAAAGAAGGTAATGAGAAACATTTGCAGGCAGTAGCAAGAGGGTAGCATTGAGATTTGGGTTGGAGTATGATAAAAAGGACATTCTCTCATCTTGGCCTGGGGGTCTTTTGAAAGTCATAGGCAGTTTTGGAGAGGAAATATAGCTCTAAATATATGAAGGTGCCTTCTGTTTTTATCCTGTCCATATTGTGGGATAGGTTTGAATAGGGAGGAAAAACTGAAGGGCTTGGAGAAGGGGTGAAGAAATGGGAAGTCTCCCCTTCAAAGTAATCCTGAGGACCCCTTTCCTCTTCTCCAATGATCAAGACTCACCACTCACCAGTCCTTTCTCCTGAGCATAGTGTAGGAAGGGGAAATGAGGGGTTCAGAAAAAAGGCAGAGGACAGTGGAAGGAACATGAGGGTACTGGGAAAGATACAGATGTTACTAGTTCTTGGCTTGAATGGGGTGAGGACTGCAGGTGCCTGAGATTAGAGTTTAGAGAAACACTGAGGTTTGTTGGGACTGATTGAATATCAAGAAGGAATATAGTGGAGGAGATGTCTGTGGAGGAGGGGAACTGAGAGCATAGGAGTTGCCTAAAGGTGTAGAGGCAAGGACTGGCCAGAGTGAAGGAGATGAAATGGACAGATGTATCTTATGGGAGGTGGTGGCCATGTAAGATTTGAGAGCCAGGGTCATGTGGATTCCGATTTGGGAGAAGCAGCATTAGCAGCAGAGGGTCCCTCAGAGGAAGCAGGATACAAATATGAAGGGTGGATGCCCCATAGGTGTGATTTCAGCAGTTGAAGGTGTTTGGGGGACAAGCTTTAGAGTGATAGGGTAGGTAGCCTGGAAGGCTAAGAAGTGGTGAGAGATGTACCTGAAAGCTACTGGGGATGGTGTTGTGAGGCAAGGCTAGAATTGCAGTTAGGGCTAATCAGGGTGTGAAGGGTCCTGGGAGGCAGATGAGTGTGTGGAGATAGCTGTGTAGAGATTTTCCAGACCACAGAGTAAAGAATAGGAGTCTAGGAGAGGACATGGTGACTCTCTGGAGGAGTCTTAGGTTTTAGACATTGCAAGGCATTTGAGTGATTCACTGGTGGTCATCAGCCTTGACCAGGGATTTGGAGACTTTAGGAAAACTAGAACCAATAGGAGTAGGGACTGGTGAAAGGATAAAGAGGGAGGACAGTGGGTGGAGCAATGAGGGAAGGACAGAAATGGGGACTGACTGAGAGGACCAGTGACCAGGCAGCTGAGGGGCAACAGGAATGGCTAGAGTTTGGGGTAGGAAGGTGATGGGAGGAGAAGCTGGGAAGAAGTAGATGGAACTAGGATAATGAACAGTTCGACTTGGAACTGGATGGGTTGTGGGATTGACGCTGGGGTTGGTGGGGGTGGGCTCTGGATCTTGTGAGTCCTGGTAGGACTGGAGGGTTGGACATATTTGCCCAGGGGATCTGGAGGTGAGGCTTAGGGAAAGGTAATGACTAAGGGGACAAGGGAACTAAGAGATGGGGGGGGGGGTTGGGGGTGGAAGTAGATGAAAGGTGGGGGGAGGTGACCAGGCCCTCTGGGGGGAGGGGAGGTTGGGTCCCAGTCTGGCCGCAAGCCTGGCCGTGGGAGGGAGACAAGCTGTGGATCCTGATTATAAATGCAGCTTCTGCTACCCCCGTGACAGGCTCGGAGGGAGAGAAGGGGTAAGGGAGGTGGGAGGTTGGGAAAAAAGAAGGGAGAATGGACGAACTGAAGGTCAAGGGGAAACTGGGTTCAGGAGGTAGCTAACTCCCGAGGAGTTGAAGGAAGATCTGAGAAGAGCTTGGGAGAATTCTCTGAGGGGTGCTGCGAGATAAATGCAGGGAGCAAAGAAAAGGGTGAAAACGGGAAGATATAAGAGGGAGAGAAAGGGACCAGGGAGATGGGAAAGAAATCCCCTCACCCCAAGCCACCTGGCGAGAGTGGGCAGGGGCAGGGGCGGAAGGTGGCAGGCGGAATGGAAAGGGGCCCAGCCTTCCATGGAGGAGGCGGGAGAGGAGGAACGGCGCGGGCCAGTGAGGTCTGACACACCCCCGCATCCCCTAGATACACCCCCTCCTGATCCGGGACCGGAGGAGCGAGTCCAGCCGCAACAAACTGCTGAGACGCACAGTCTCCGTGCCGGTGGAGGGGCGGCCCCACGGCGAGCATGGTACGGCGGCCGAGCAGGCTCGCGTGCCCCGGACAGTCGCGGGGACAGGGCTGGAGGTGGTCGGGCTGGCGGCGCGGGGGCGTCGGGCACAGGGGGCGCTGGCAAGGGGCGGGAGGAGGCGGAGACCGAGTCTCGCAACTCTAGAGGAGACGGCGCCCTCGTCTGGGCTGTGGAGCGGGACAGAGGCTGTGGGTGAGAAACCCCAGCGCGTCCTTGCTCTGCTTCGCTCCCTTTTTCCTCTCCAGCAGCGAAGTTTGACTATTTTCCCGGTGCTTTTAAAAATAGTCTCTTTAGATCTTTAGCTTCCTGTCCGAGTGTTCCTGTCCCTGCCCCTCCCAGCCCTTGGACTGGGATCTTGGAGAGATTGACCTAGTTCCCGCCCTCCCCCCAGACCTCTGTCCCACCCCCTGCTCCGGATTCTTCTTCTAGATCTGCAGGTCTGTGGCCCATTCCCTCTTTCTTGCCCCCTTTTTTCTCTTTTCATCAGCTGCTCTATTTTCTGCAACTGTATCGCCCCCCTTTTCCTTCCCATTTCTCTTTATTTTCTGTACCCCTCTTGACTTCCCAGTCTCTCCCCTCTGCTCCCAGTGGAAATCCATTAGACCCTCCTTTCTCATCTCTTTCTGTCTGTAGAGATATCTGCTCAGTCTGTCTCTCCAATTCTCTCCCTCTCTCCATCTGTCTCTTCCCCTCCCTCCCCCTTTCTGCCCCCCCACCCCCCTTTAGTCATTTAAAAAAAGATTTTTGTCTTCCTGAGAAGTTCGCTTAAAAGGTTTCCATGGGAACAGTGAGGGGATATGAAGGCAGAGAACAGAGATCTGCAGCCAAGGTGCAGAGAGACGCCCTCAGTCCCCGGAAACCCCTTCGCCACTGCCCCCTTCCTCTGTATTTCCCTCCCAGGACTTGGGATCCAGATCCCCCATCCCTCCAACCTTCAGATGATCTATTTCTCCTACCAAATCCCCCACCCCTCAGACATCCAGGGTTTCAGTTTCTTCTTTAGAGAGCCAGTGGCCTTTCCACATCCTTTGGCTCCCTCCAGTCACCTTGTGATAGGTCCAGACCTCTCTACCCTTGGGGGCCTGTTCTGGGACCCTGAGTGGATGGTCAGGGATGTGTGTCATTGTTATGGAAACCTCCGACCAGGGGTCTGTGTAGGTAGCTCATCTCTGAGGCAAATCCAGGTGGTAGTTGTGAAATGTGTACAGAGAATATGTGTGATGTTTTTCATATCTGTGTCTATGTGTATGTAATGTCCATATCTGGTGCATGTGTTTCTCTGCATGTGTGTGTGTATACCTTTGTGCCCAGGCCAGAATGGTCACATGCTCACAGAGCATGTTTATCAAATGTCCTGTGGTTGGCTGCTCTGCCCACATATTCTCCATCTTTCTCCTTCCCCTGAGTCCTCAGAATCTGGGGGTCTCTGGCATGGGTCTTGGGTGGAGGCAACGTGTGTTTGAAGTTGGGGTAGTATGTGGAGGTTGCTGTATGGGACTGGGAGGGGCTCCAGGGCTATAAATATATTTGGGGAGAGGGTTTAGTCAAAGTTTGATAGCTAGTGACTGGGGTCTTCAGAGGGACATGGAATGTGTAGAGAACATGGAGAATGTGTAGAAGACATCAGGGTCGTTGAAGTCTTGGGGGCTTATCTGCGAAGGTGTTTGCTGAGGCTGTGGACTCTTCAGCCCGAGAGAGGTCGCCGGACCTTTGAGGGGCATTGGAATCTAGGGCTCCTCCTCTGCTGGGTGGAGCCGCGAGCCCTCCTTTCCTCCGTGATTTTTTTTGGGGGGGAGGGGGTCCTGCTCAAGAGGGGATGGTAGAAGACCCGGTTGGTTTGGGGGGTCCCCTTACCCCCCTCCCCCGTCTCTCTCGCGCTGTCTCCGGGCGACGGGGCTCGTG